GTTTTGGGGTGCAAAATGCACCCCAAAAAGGGTGTTGCGGGGGGAGGATGGGACACACACACGACACACAGGGCCTGGAGCCAGGCTTTGTTGATGAAATGTCAAAGGTTAAAATAAAAGCGTTTCACAGGACAAGGCCTTGGGAGGGGATAATAGGTTCAAGATAGTGGAGCCTTGCAAAAACAAAGAGATAAAAACCGCAAAACCTTGAATTTGAGGAATAAGAAAACCTCCCCTGGTCACATGCTCAGAGATACCGTAAAGAACACCCAAGTTATGTCCTATAAATGAATTATAATTATTGTAATCATTGTAATGTGAAAAGCACACCTCCTGGTGAGAAGAAGCCCCCTACTCATGTAAGACCCCCCCCCCCCTTTGAGTTTGCATAGAATAATTCAAAGACTGGCAACTTTAAATTGAGCCAACGCACGTTGTTAACCAGTGAGGGACAAAGCGATAAGAAACTCCCTAATGGTCATTACAGCAAATGTGCATTCATGTGGTTTGAAGTGTATAAATATGTCACGTGCCCATGTGTGTGGTGTGCCAGGTTTGTGGAATTACCAGCTAGCACCCATCTCTGTGTGGCTGTGTTAAAACAAGTACCTCAGCTCTGTGTTTTTCAGCTCACTGCACACCGGGTAAAAGAGCCCAGATTTTAGGACAACACTGTGGGGGCATAGAGCAGGGCTGGGGATGCTGGGACTGGAGCAGGGCTTTGGGGTGCTGTAGGGCCACACAGCTGGGTTTTGGTGTGCTGCAGGGTGTCCTGGAGCCAGGTTTTAGGGTGATGGGGAAGCTGGAGCAAGGCCTAAGGGTGGTGTGAGGGGTCTGGAGCAGGGCTCTGGGGTGCTAGGGGGCTCAGACCATGGCTCTGGGGTGTTGGAGTCTCAGTGCATGGCTTTGGGGTGCTGGGGAGGGGCTCAGAGCATAGCTCTGGGGTGCTGCAGGGCCTGCCAGGCCAAGGGAGGCTGGAGCCACACTGCAGACCTGGCAGCACACATGCAGGACACGCTATTTTCTCCATCTCATCAGAGCATGGGAGATGCATGGATCAGGTTTACTAGTCTTCAGAAAGAGCAAACAGTAAAACATTTTTCCCAGAGAAGGGGCTTATTCCATCAGATACTTTCTCATGGTCTTCTATAGCTCCTACACAACCTCACGTCCTCATCCCACTGCAGTGCAACACTCCGACCCAGTGTCTCCCCTTTCTCTCCAGCCTCGTGCCCCTCACTGGGAACGAGGGTGAGCTGAAGGCTCCTTCTCACCAGGGATACAACCACCAGCACCTGATCTCACCTCTCTGGTAACCGGCCCTCTGCTGGTTCTCCAGTTCTCTGTGCTCTCCTCTCGCTCCTCTACACAACGGCTGGGTTGCAGCAACCTTCATTCTCCCTTCACTGTCAGCTGCTCCGTGAGCAATTTCATAGCGAGTGCCTTTGCTGCACACTCAGATACATACCTAGGCAGTCACAACCTGCTGATTTTATTAATGATAGAAATAAGAGACTCCATTTCTGTAAAAAATCTGGCTTTTATTTAGATGTTGTTCCCTTCCAGAATATGAACACCAGATTATGTAAAAAAAAAAAAAAAAAAAAAAAAAAAAGGAAGAAGAGCTAGAAGGAAGGCCTTCTTTGTTATTGGAGATCTTGGGAAGACATCGTCAACTCATTTTTTTCATTTGATGCTCACTGCCTGCCAGTAGAAACCAGACAGCTGAAAATTTTTTGCTGATCAAGTCCTTTCCAGGAGCTGAGCTTCTGTGTGTGAAAATCCATTGTGCCATAAAGGCAGGGTAGCTCTGCATCAATTTTTTGGTGAAAAGGACATACTGTTCCTCACAAGTGCTATTTTAAAACTGCACATCAGCAAATCTCGTGGGTTTTACTTAAACGTACCCAAAACTTTCCTCATTTCCTTCACCAGACGTCAGTTAAGTTCAAATACTAGGTTTACTAGTCTTCAAAAAGATCAGTCAAACAATAAAGCATTTTTCCCAAAAAGGAGCTTATTCTAATAGTTACTTTCTCAGAGAAGAGAAAGGAAAGGCATCAAAACTACAATTCAAGTATAAAAGGACAAACCTATATGACTACTAGGAATACAGCTTGTTTCAACCCATCCTTCTTGAATAAGCCATTTAAAAAAACTCAGGCTGGCCCTCCCAGGCAGGAGCATCATGCCCTCGCTGCCCTCCAGGAGCCTGTCACACTGGGAGGAGATCACATCTCTGAACAACTGTCGAGGGCTAGGAGTGACCTTTGATGTAATGAGTCCATTCCAATTGGGAAAAGAAAAAAAACAAACTTAACAAGATCCACCACTCTATTCCACCACATGTAAACTTGCTGCAGTCGCCAACCTGTCTGCAGGAACTGCAGCTCTGCCGAGGGAAGGGCGAGAACCACAGACCCACTGCTGAGCTGCAACAAACATACCACTCGGTACAGTCGCCTTTTTTCATTTCTATACACATTTTAGTCGTTCGTTTTGCTTCAGTTTGTTAATAAAATTCGTCTTGATCTCCCAGGGTTTAAAGACACAAACCAAGCACTTCTGGTATTTACATCATGAGCGCTGCGAAGTTTTTTGATTTAGGCTGATCTGGGTGAGTCTCAGTTGAGTGGAACACCGATCCCTGTACCGTTGTACTGTATTGCTGCATAATCACGTATATAATAATGTAAGGTTGAAAGACACAGTATCACTGTCATAGTTACAGCAGGAAGAAAAGGCACAGCCAGAATGCAAGAAAATGAAAAAAACAAAGTCACTTGAATGAAAAGCTTAAATATTCAGCTTCCAAGCCTCCTGATATCACATAGATTCTAAACCCCAAAGGATTAATGACCTATTGATTCACCCCGACTTGATTTCACAAGATTATTCAACAGTCTCTCAAGTTCTCCTGGCCAGCTTCTGTTTCCTTTCCCTCTATTTCAGAGTCAACCCTGCACAGAAAGCCTGGTCCCATCGCTGTCTGTTCAGAATCCAGGGAGAGTGCCAAGCCCCCTGTGCCCGGGGAGAAGTGGTCCTTCCCCGAGAAAAGCTTTAGCAGAAGTCCTTTATGTACAAGTTAAAGCTGAAAAGGGACGGGCTGCAGAGGAGCAGGACAAAGCTCTACTAGTAACAAGAGGGCACACAGCAAGGTTGATTTACAGCGTTTATATCCCTCTGAGTAAAACACAGCCCCTGCACGTCTCATCAGCAAGCTCAGTTGTCCACTTCTTCCTCATCATTTTGCTCTTCTTCCTCCATCCTTTCGTCATCATCATCATTTTCTTCCTCTCTACTCTTATCTTGCTCCTCTGAGTCTGCCTTCTTGTCTTTATCTTTTCTTGCTTCTTTCTTTCCTTTCTGTTCACGCCTGTAAACTATAAAAAAAGAGCACAATGAAAACTTGAAAGCCAGTGTTTCCACGCCATGGACAGTACAGTAGCTGAAGTCCAATGCCCACATGCTCTCCAGGCTTACAAGGGGAGCAGTGAACTCATAGCAGCAACTCACCCTATTATTTGAGCTGTGCTGACCAGCTCCATAGGAAATCAGGTTAAGATTCAGCAGAAAAATGCTGAAAAGGACGCAGTTCACATTTACAGGCAGCACCTAAGACTTTCCTTAGATAAACATAATAGGGGAGTGATAGCAGATGAGACTTTCTCAATCCTCATCAGTTGTGAAATAATGTTATCCCAGTCCTGTTAAGGTGCACATTATTTATTCCCCAGGCAAACTGCAGTGTAGGATGCTGGGCAAAGAGAAGAGAAACAAGACAGGCAAGTAATCATTGCTTGTCCAGTGTTTGAGAAAAGCAGGACTTGGTGCTACTTAGACTCCATTGACATGAATTGAGGATGATACCTTCCAGTGATTCTTTCAAAGGAGCTACAAATCGCTGAAACTCCATTTCCTCCATGGCAGAGAGAACATCACCAGCATTCAGCGTTTTCCTTTTCCCCTTCATGGCAAAGTTATTTGCACTAGTCAAAAACAAGAAGGAAAATAGAGTCAATTGGTAACTGTCATCAATTTAGTCTTGTTTATTAAAGTCACAAGCAACTTAAAAAAAGAAAAAGCTGTCTCCTAAACATTTGGGGTTTTTTTTAATCACTTACTAATAGTAGTTTAAGATACCTTGTTTATACTGGCTGTTTGTACTTTCATCTAGCTGCACTGCTTTCCCACAACATTCATTTTCTGCTTGCATGGACCTTTTCTACAACCAGGGGGAAGAAGACAGTCTGAACGTTGGCTGTAAGATGACAATTCCATAAAGCCATGTCACTACTTAACACCAAAGAAGTGACTGCCTGCACAGCATATTCTGGGCCACCCCAAAGACTCTGTCCTCTGTGACCAGCTCCAAGGCTGGCTAGCTTGGCTCACACTTGCCCATATGCTGCGATACGGTGAGTAGCCTGGGAAGTGAGCAAAGTGCTCTTGCCTTTGCTGGGAAAAGCCATACTCCAAGGCTAATGGCAGTCTGGGACACCTCTGTGTGCAGAGCCAAGCTGCCTTCCCCACAGGTTGTTAAGGGCAGTCCAAACCCAACTAAAGATTGCTTTATTTATATAAACAGACAATACTGAAACAAATACTCCAGGACAGCCAGCAAAGAGGTGAATTATAAGTCAACTGTGCTGGTTTTCAGATGCAACAAACTCTTACCATGATGTTGCATAAAGCACAAACACACTTGCCGCTCGAGATATTGCACTCCGAGCTTCTTTGGAAATGTTTACTCCATCAGGAAGCTGAAAAATAAATTCAACATTTATCAGCAGCTGCTGTAAATGACTTAAACTTTCAAAACTCACATGTCAGTTCTGTTAAAGCATTCAGAGTTCACCCCTCGCTGATCTCGGATGCTATGACAGAAACGTTGATGCCAGCTGAAAGCCAACCCATTTGACTGAGCTCTCTCAAACGCAAGAAGCTACACAGAAGTAAAGTAACTTCTGGGTCAGTGGTGGGTCCGGCCACTATCTCCGGGGCAGTTCATCTAACTACCCAGCTCCTGACACAGACCCATCATGTCCAGATCCATTCAGCAATGACTTGTGGCTCAAGACCAAGAGCATCATTAAATTAATGACTGGAAATTATTCTAGATTTTTGTACAGACAAGGAAACACTTCTGCTCGTTGTTGGTGGACCTGGTTCAGTGAGCCCCACTGCGAGTGCTCCCCTGCCTTTGGACTTTACTTTTAAACACTACTTGGACCATTACTGCGGGGTTTTGCAGTCTTGGATCGTCGCCCCTGGCGCCTGAGGGCCACAGCGGGAGCACAGGAGGCCTCGGGGACGCAGCACGGGCACCCGGCCCCGCCGGGGGAGGCTCCACCCGGGGCCCGGGCACGTTCTGAGCAGCGAAACCGCGGAACAAACGAAGGCTCAGCGGGGGCTCTCCGGGGAGAGCTGGCCCGCCCGCAGCCGCCCCCCCG